CCTCCTCCTCCTCCTCATCATCATCATCATCATCAAAATGTATGTGCATTCTGGGTCCCAGTGATTCTGAGCAGTTTATAAATTATTTAAAGTATTAAAATAAGATATTAAAGATGACAAGAATTATAGGAGTTTTTTTTCCTGTGAAATATGTGATAAGTAATAACAGGATTGGTGCTAAAACAAAGTTACTGAAGACCATGAGAAAGATATCTCAGAAAACGCAGGTGGCTGGGATTGAACTATTAAATTTATAATATTAAACCACATGTTCAACTATGGAGTTATGTTCCCCCAAAAGGCATATCATTGGTCAACATGAATATATTTTTGTTCCATCAAAACTTCATAAATGAATTGCCTGAAGAAGGACCCACAAATTTGATGCAGGTTTCTCTTTAATTGATTTTGAGGCATCTTCACAATGTAATATAATTGATATGATCATAGGAGAAATTCAGTAAATATTCACATGCAATAGCAGCCCAAGATGCACCAGAAATTCATCAGAAGATTGGGATTTTATGGGAGGGGTAGTGCAAAATCTTAAAGCCAAGGATTCCATATTCTATTTCTTTGCTATTGTATGCATTTCAAGGTCTTGATTTGGCTTGGTGTGAATATTTGCAGAGCTGGCCTAATTTATTCTTAGGGGAATCATTCACTTTCCCCATATATATTTTAGCTAGTAGTTATGAATTCAATGTGTATCATTAAAAAATAATTAAGAGTACAGTCATATTAGGTTAGCAGTTTTGCAATTATTCAAATAGATATTCCACAACTTTCCAAGGCATTCCAAAATCTCTCTGTTACACACAGACATGCACATGCACACATAAACATTTCTATTTCTATCTGTTCTGTTTATAGTGGAAAAATACAGAGAAGTACAACAAAAAAAGTTTGAAAAGCAGTAACTTGTGCTGTGACAAAGTTATTTGAGACTGATGTTTGCATCTCTCCTTCCAATTTCTGCAACTCTCATAAAGGAGACCACACAGATGAAGAATGTGAGATTATCATATTAACTGCAATGACAGTGTGAGTTCATTGTTATTTTAACTAACTTTTTATTAAATGATGTTTTTGCGAAATATTATGTCAGTCACTTGAGGGAAGGAGAATTTTATTCCCCCTCTTTCTTTACATTACCTGTTGGATCAGTTGATGCTTAGTTGATCTTCTGTTAAGTTTTTAGTTATTATTCTTTTAGTTTTTAGATATAGTTTAGCAATTTCACTATTGACTATGGAAAAAAAATTAGGACCGTGGATTTATATTATTTTCATGAACACCTTGGTAAATACTGATCTTCAAAACTTACAAATAAGAAATTCAACATAGCACAATTTTAAAAACTATGAATTCCTCTATCAAGTTTCATAAATACATCATGAAACATTACATCTTCCTTGAGAATCTTATAATGTTTCTGAACATCCAGGGAATAGTCAATATATATTGAAGCTGTATTTAAGGTATATTTCATCATAGAAAAGCAGAATAATGTTAGTTGATATATGCTGAAATTTGTAAGATTTAGATTTGGACTATTGAAAAAATGTCAGCTTAACAAAGTGCATTAAATATATGTCTGTGTGTGCATGATGTGTGTAAGAGAAAGAGAGAGAGAGAGAGATTTTGGTGATATTGTCAATTTTCAAAAATTAATTTTGTGACTCAGTTTCTTGTAACTTAAACTTCCCCACACAATGTCACTAGACCACAGAGCAGCAAAGCACTTTTAGCCTAGTGTACTAAGATAATCCAGCCAATGATTGATTACTTTATAGTTCAGTTAATTATGTAAACCAGAAAATTGGGTTTATTAACAAAACTGTTATTATTTTAACAATGGATAAGTCTATTTAGTAGGGAGAGCCATTACATGTTTCTCACAAATTATTCAGTATTTTGGAATGTTTAATCAAAATGCCAGTTTTGAATCTGAATATAAGATAATGGGGAATGCATATTCATATATTCACATGTTAAAGATATATATGAAAATGCATACAATTACTTACGTTCAGTTTTTCTGCTGATTTGTATACAGTAGTATTCTATATAATTTATGCATAGCAAAATAAAATATAGGGGAAAATGAAATTAACACAATTGCTCCATCCTCATCTGAACTTTGTTCTCTCTGATGTCTGCATCAGGTTGTGATTTTAACAAAATAAATAAAGGACCCCAAATTTGTATACATTTTTTGTATACATTTTTCATGCAGAATTTTATATACAATTTTGGATCATAGTTTTTTTTTTTTCTCTACAAGAAGGCTGTTTTCTTAATTTTGAATTTTTTGTCACTAATGTCCATGCTTGCCTGCACACTTTTGTCCAACAGTTTTATCAGCAGATTTGAGAAATATAGCAACAGAAGGATGTACTTACTTATTTACTTATTTACTTATTTACTTATTTACTTATTTACTTATTTACCTACCTACCTACCTACCTACCTACCTACCTACCTACCTAC